ATCCTTGCTGATCTCCTGCCATGACTTGTGCCTTTGGACCCAGTGTGTTCACTTTCCCTCACTTCCCTCATTTGCATAGTCAGCCGTTGGTCTGAGTGAGTCAGGTGCCCCACTAGAGAAGCAGCTCTCTGAGAGCATGGGTGGAAGGAAGTCTTGGACAGATGCTCGGTTGAGTGAATGCACCCTTTCTAAGCATTCCCAGTTCATGGGTCTTAGGGCTTCTCACAGGCACGTGTCCCACTGTTGTTAAGTAAAGCCCGTTATATGTGTTTAACAAGTTAGCAGCATGGCAGCTCTGCTTCTCCCCAGCCCCGCCACAGCTCAGGGATTGTTTGCTGTGGCAGAGGGCCAGCCCTTAGCTGTAAGATGCATTTCCTTGACAGGCAAAGTGTGGAGCCGCATTAGTTGCAAAGTTTACAAAGGTTAGCTAAACACACACAAATATTATTAAACAAAAAAGGCCCACCCACCTTTGACCTTGAATTCTGTTTCTTCATTCCGTGTTTTAGAATCCCTGTACGATTTGATTAATAACCAAATTAAATCTTAAGTATCCTTTGCTGAAAGCCAGACTGCTCACAGACCCCTCATTGGCTGCTGTGGTGACTCATCGCTGCAGTGGCCGGACTCGGAATGACTGTTAGTTCCAGGAGTCTGCATGGGCATTCACTTAGCTACATATAGCTCAGAGAAACGAAAGTGACCGCTCTTGTAATTAACCATGCCTTTACATGGGTCCTTTCTAGCTGGGCCTTCTCCCTGCCTCAGTGTGAAGAGGAAAGTAGCTACACTTCTCCATAAGGGCTTATGCTGGCCTGCCTTGGGCTTGTCCAGAGTTCTGGTGGCCAAGGGATGTACACAAGAGTGAGGTTCAGTGCTCTGAGCTTGGACTCCCTGGAAAGCAATCAGACATTGGTCAGTTGGCCTGGGCAAGTGCCTCTCTAACATTAACACCCTCGGCATAGAGGGAGAGCGTAACAGTAACCTGCTGCCCCTGGAAAATGCCGATTTGGCTGGGTGTCTTGGAATTTATCAGGCCTACATTGTGGATCTTTGCCAATTCTGCACCCTGCTCACTTGAAAACATATTTGAGAACCAGTACTTTTAGACTGCTTATCCACACTTCTCAAGAACCAACTAATTCTACACCTACTTTCTGAAAAGACAGTCCTGAGGCCACTTGGGAGCCCTTCTTTTTCACTATGCCCAGATTCCTATCTCCTGTGGCTCTTGCTCTCTGCTTTATGCACACCCTACTTCCTAGGACCTTAGAGCTAGCTCGTTAGAAGGTCACTGGGGTATAATAATGATCTCGAGAAATCAAATTACCCTCCTCGATAGTAATGGTACTAACCATTTAGTCCTGGGTGGACTGTTGGCTCTCTGTGCCTGCCTTCAGCAAACATTTACTGAGCACCAGGCGCTAGTCCAAGACTTCCTGCATTCGCGAACAAAACTGATCAAGATCTTGGCACACATGGAATATATATATATACTCTAGTGTGGTGGTTCTCAACCTTCCTAATGCCATGACCCTTTAATACAGTTCATGTTGTGGTGACCCCCCAACCATCAAATTATTTTTGTTGCGACTTCCTAACTGTAGTTTTGCTACTGCTATGAATTGGGCAAGCCTTGTGAAAGGGTCATTCGACCCCTTTGGTTGAGAACCGCTGCTCTAGTGCAAGAGACTGGCAATAAACAGAATCAGTACATCAGTTATGTAGTGCCTTCAGGGGGTATTCATCCTATGAGAAAGTAAAGGGTAAAAAGTCAGGGGAGTTGGGCCTATCATTTTAAATTAGGTAGCCTGAGGCACAGCTCATTTAAACCAAGAATTGAAGGTGAATCTTGGCCAGGGTGATTCGAATCTAGTTAAGTTTCAAAGAGTTATGCTTGTAAGTCTCCTCATATTTCCATATACTGGCTGCGACCCTTTGGAAATGTCCAGCGGTCTAGGCATGGCTATCAAATGAGTCTCAGTGACAGAGCACCTGAAAGTCAAGCTGCACTTTACATTCCGTGAACTATTTGCTCTGCCTAATTCCATAGTACAATTAGGAGCAGTTATATTTGGACAAAATATGACTTTTATGATATCGCTTCCATACCCCTTCAAGTCCTGTCAAACTAAATATGATTTACAATTTATCAAGCTTTTCTGTTAATAGTCACGCAGTAAGTTATATATTTGTCATCTTAGCACTTACTGGCAGAGATTGGGTGGCAAGCGCCATGAAGAAAATTGCGGAATGAAAACTTGCCCATTTAACTTCCCTCCACCATAGACTGGGCAGGTTCTGCCATTGTTAATCACAGTGGCAGTCGACTATCTCAGTCCTCTTCAGCAGTGCCGAGCTTCATCAAGCCCACATGGTGGGTCTTTGCCAATTCTGACCCTGCTCACTTGAAAACAGATGAGAGCCAGTGGTCTTAGACTGGTTAGCCAGATTCTAGAGAACCAAGGAAGAGAACTGACTCTAATCCTGCGCCCTGAAGAACCACTCCTCTAGGATCTTGTCAGATAGGAACACGGGCTTCCAAAAGTTCATGGAGCCGTTCCATTGTCTTTTGTTAGAGAACTCTTGTAGAATCTTCTGCGTTTTTTACCTAGCTTCTCAGGAATCTCAGGAAGGACATGTAGCTATTTGACTAAATGCGAGAGCCAGAACTTCTGTAAAAAGGGACCTCAGATTTCCAGATAATTCTTTCTTGACCAAAGGGTGGAAAGGTTAGAGAGAAAAAACAACAAAACACCTGCAGTTTAGGCAGACAGAAGTTCCGTGGTTTTCATTGTAAAACTAGTAAAACGACAACAGCGTGGTACCATTTTCTTAGCCGAGTGTCCACGACATTGTTAGGCATGTAATATGTTCCTAATAAGCAGTGATGTAGTATTTCAGTCATTCCTTATGCTACCACAAAAACTACCATACAAAACAAACAAGCAAACAAAAACAAAAACTACCAGTACGTGGTGTTTGCCTACCAACTGTGGGGTCCTTTGTTTCCTTAATTCTGTCCCTACCGTCCCCCCTACCTCTGCAGACAAAAACTAGAAACAGACTGACAGTCTCACGGAGAGCTCTTGACCCTCATTGACCCTGGAGCATGCTTATTTTCCTCACAAATAATGAGTTCTGAGGATCATAATGCCCAGTGAGCCTGCTCTTAAGTAGCTTTCTATTCAGGTTAATGTCAAGTGTTCTAGTGCCCTGCTGTTTTATCTCAGAGGTAGGGAGATATTATTAAATGCCTACAAATAGGCATTGTTCCTGAAAAAGCTTCATGATATTTGGATCTCTGTGAACTAAAAACAATAACCACCTGGCCTCAATCTACTGTCCAGAGGGACATACTGTGTTTGTAAAAACTTGAAGCACTGAGATCTAAATCGATCTGGTGGTCAGCATCACTGAATTATGTGGGTTCAGCAGTCCATGGTGGCAGCCTCTCGTGGTAGTGGAGCTGGGCAAGGCTGACTTTGTGGTCTCAAGACGTTAGGAAATAGGGGGAGTGATGCCACATGGGAACTTTAAAAAACAAATTTATAAGGTATCACATAGATAATAAGCAATGGAATGGAACTTCACCTCAATATAGTTCAGTGGAGAGTGTCTTAAAGGCTTGACTTATTAAACTAGCCAGTAGAATACAAGCAAGACTTCTTTCATCTTAACTTGAGTTTAAAAAAAATAAAGTTTACTATGATTCGAGTGAAAATATACAGAACAAATTGGATATCCATTCAACCATCCCTGCACATTTTGTTTCATGACGTTGACTGCAGTCCTCTAAAGTCATGGTGTACTCCCTATGTTCACAGTTTCCATCAGTCCTTTCCTGTTCATTCCTGCTGTCTGAGTGTTCTCACTGGGCACATGCTGCCCCGTTCTCCTCCTGTGGTTGATCTAAAGAGTGCATACCTCCCTGCTGTTTGCCTGTTGTTTGACCATGGAGGTGTGTTCAGTTCAGGTCTGAAGATAAACCAAGGGCCATAGTTTCAGGGGCTCTAAGCCTTTAAAAAAATTTTTGTTAATGATTTTGAGTTTGTTTCAAATGTTTCTCCCACTTTATCCAGGGCCCTCAATTGTGATCCTATTCAGACCAGCCAGCATTGGTTACAAGCCAGGCACCGTCTAGTTCTGCACTCAGGGTCTGGGAGGCTGAGGTTCTCCTGGTCCATTAGCCTGTTGGACGAATTGTTCCCAGGCATATTTGATGTTCTTCACTCTTTTTGCTCTGGATGAGGTGAGCCCAATAGCTGCACCAGAGTTGGCCACTTGCAAGCTTTTAAGACCCGTCGCTACTCACCAAAGGGTATAGAATGTTGTCTTTGTGGGCTGTGCTGTGTCCGTCGACCTGGATGCCCTCTGTTGCTGTGGTCCCCAGCCTCAAGCTCAGTGACTCATTCCCTCAACGTGTTTGGCTATGGCTAAGAAGTTTACATACTTACAACCATAGGAGGAGAAAGTTTACATACATACATACTTTGTCTCGCTTGCTCGGTTACAAACATGAGTATATTTAGAGCACATACAAATACATTTTATGTAGGAATGAGTGTCGTCCCTTTTGCTTTTTCATACTCTTCATCTTGGCCGACTGCCTACATTGCCTATATAGCCTATAGATCCTATATATTTTAAATTAATATAACTCTTGTGCACCTCACTGCATCTTTCTTTTCTTTAGAAACATTGTGCTGATTGCCCTTTCTTGTCTGTTGCCCATTTCTTCACCCAAAGTAATAAGGCGTCCATTATCCAGTTGGTAATTTTCCTTCCCCTCCTATCCCTGGTAGCCATCAATGTCCCCCGTGTGTAAATCTCTCCTCGACTTTCTGTAATAGCGTACACATGCAGTATCTGTCCTTTTGTGATGGATTTATTCCACTCAGGCAAAACCTTCCAGGTTCATGGTCATCCACGTTACGAGGTGTCCGTGCTTAGCTGGGCTCTCCAGTTAACCTCCCCCCAATCTTTCCTTTCCTTTGCAGAGCGTTGTGCGCTGCCTGTGGCATCCAAAGCTGAACCAGATCATGGTTGGAACTGGAAATGGGTTGGCTAAAGTGTATTACGACCCCAACAAAAGTCAGAGGTATTCCTAAGTATTGCTTATTTTAGATGGATGACAGCAACTGGGGTGGCTGGGAAGGAGGGATTCTTTCCCCCCGCCTCTGCTTTTATGTATTCCCCCTTAGATGGGGATCCACCCTTTCAGAAAATGCAGCTGGTAGAGGATTGTATTTTAGAGAGGATTTGGATGTGGCCCTTGATCTATACAGGACTCAGGGAAAGTTTCCTGGGGATTTGTAGCTCTTTAGCTGAAATGTTGAGTACAAGGGCTGGGGAAGCCCTGCCCACTTTGCGTGCCACCCTGGGCAGTGGCATTCACAGTGGTGCATGGAAAGGATTAACAAACCTGGCCGCTCACAGGAAATGAAAATGGCTTTGCCATTTCCTTCATTTTCTGTTTGGGCTTTCCCCAGACACAGGTTTAGATGTTTGGCAAAGCTAATGTCTGTCGGCGGAGGGAGGGAAAGGGTAGGGGTGTATGCATGTGTGCAACACAAGTACTCCCCCATCATCTCTCTGCCCACCCCGAATGTTGATTCCAGTGTGTTCCAGAGGTCCCCAAACATTCCCAGGGATGCAGTTGGTCCCTGCGATATTTCCCTTTTCCTTGGGCTCAAAGGTGAATGTGCACTACCACTCCACAAAGGAGGCTTGTCGTTGAGATGCAGTGATTGACTTCTCTGGAGCTGCCCCCCCCTTTTTTACACCCCCGAGTGCATCTTGCTTAGCCAGTGTTAGACTCACATACTGAGTGCACTGAGGTCCCACTGGAGTCTGTTGCGGAGGCCCTGCAGCCTCTCTGAGGACTGGAAAGCGGTCCCTATGCTGACCAGTCACTGACCGTGATCTGACTCTGACTAACAGCCTACAACCCTGACTTCCTTCAGAGAGCTTTCTGGACTAGGTTGGAACCCCTTGCTTTAGAAAATAAAGGCATATCATGAGATATATAGGAATAAATAGGATTTTATTTACTTTTTAATCAAGAAATTAAAAATGCTCATATAATTAGGATGAGAGGTGGTCTGTTTTACTTGAGAAAATGATGGCCCTCTTTCATCGTACTCCTTTGAAGACACTGTCTATGGGGCCTTTCTTGAGGAACTTGTTCACTTGTGCTTGCTTCTTCTGAAAGGGGCAGCTCCGTGTTGTCGTGTCGATGTTCCTGGTACGGTTTACGTTGGTCCCACACACTCTGGGGCTGTAGCCCCTTTGCAGCTCCACCAGTCAGACCCGGTTTCAGACACTTGTACTCTCATCTTACATTTGAGATGTGGACACATGCCACTTGGGATATAGACCACCCAAGTTTCTTTCAACTGGGCCACAAGCTACAATTCGAACCCTGTGACCTTTAAAGTGAAAAGGTTAGAGGATTTTTCATAGGTCTTTTTAAGATCTTGACATTTTAAGTTGCTTTTAAGCTAGAGACCTGTTAACCCTGTTATCTCTCTAAACCTGTCCTTTGGCTGAAACCACGGAAGGGCAGACTGGTTTTTCCGTAAGTGTAACCCCTAGAGGCCCTGTCAGTTGCCCCCAGTTAGAGTCACACACAGAGTGTGTCCCCAACGAGCTCTGTGCTTTTGACATAAAGCTCTGTTTCTGAGACCAAGTGGAGTAAATAATTTGCTTTTACTTCCCATAGGGGAGCAAAATTATGTGTGGTGAAGACACAGCGGAAGGCGAAGCAAGCCGAGACGCTAACCCAGGACTACATTATCACTCGTGAGTTGTCACATGGCTTCCCAGTTGGGTCACTTTTCTGCTCTTGTGTGGCGCTGATTGCATGGCTTTAGGGACAGAAATAGTCCCCCAGGTCTAGGCTTTTATCATAAAACATCCCATTCATGTGGTCGGGACTACCAGTCGTATAATCGCTAAGCCCTTTGGCTTTCTGTGACTTATCATTCAGACAGGGTTAGTTCATGAAACTTTCAAGCCCAAAGGAAAAGCCTGTTTGAGCCTAACGCATTACTTCATCGCAGGCTTTTAAAGAACACCAGTGCATTCCAAGAATAAACATGAAAGCGTGCTGGCCCTGGACTTGTCCAGCTCTACTGCCGACTGGCAGTGTGATGTAGAACAACTGGACTTCATCAGGAAAGGGAGGAGACCACCCTAAGGATCTCTTCCAGGCCCCAGTGAAACTCTGTGACCATGAGATTGATCCCAGGATAGCCAGACCTAAAACCGAATCCAGGGGGTATGGGAGACTTCTCTCAGGTTTGCCACACAGCCTTGTCAGTCTGGCCTACTTGGGTTTCCCAGACCCCAGTCTCACACCTGCAGCGGGGATGCCTCTCACAGGCAGTAATTAGGAAGGCAGTCTTGGACACCCTCGCCCTGGGCACCAGCAGATGCCTCTGAGGCAGTCCGCAGCCCAGGCAGGGGTGCTCTGCTGCTGGGTTTTCTTCCTGGTGGTGGATCTCATGTAAGACCAAGTACCTTGGCGCCTATGATCAGTAAAGGGATCCCATGATACTTTTCATCAGAGTAGATGTGTTAAAATTGGTGTCATAACCGTTAGTCTAGCTCATGTAATTACACGCGGCCTACTTAAATTCCTCCAGTCGTTTGAAGTGAAAAGTTATTTTTCTCCCTCCTAAAAATACTGTTGTGTCTTGTTGCCCAACAGAGTGCCGAGTGGCTGTGCTTCTCCGCTCCCGTCCCTCAGAGCAGCATGTCTTCCTGGGGAGTGATAGGCTCCTGGCCCCAGGGAGCCGGCAGCCAGCTAGAGGCTGGGGGCCAGTACTGGCAGAGTTTTGAGGCATTAGACCTCCCCGGCACTCATGGTCTAAAACCCCTCTAAATGCCTATCACTGCCTGACCCTCCTCCCAGCACATTTGGGAGTTATTTTGGTGCACCCCCCTACCCCAAAGTAGCTATTTAATATTTATTCAATAATCTCCTGTTCCCCCCAATATTACTTTTTTATTCTTGTGTTTTGTCCACCCTAGAAAAGATGTAGGGGTAAGGCCCCATCAAATCAGCTTGCCAAGAGTGCGCCTCCTCAGCTCCCCCCAAGTCAAGGCAACCTTTACCCCAGTTTCAGAGGCTCGAGTGTTCCTCCCTTCCGGTTACTCAGTGTTGTCAACTCCTTGAGAGGTGGTCACATTTCAGAAACGTGTGAAGTGATTCCAGTGTTTATGAGACATCTGAAGAAACCTCAGGACTGACAGGCAAGCTGTTGGCCATGTAGCTGTTGGCATTCTGCACATTTGGGTCGTGTAAGAAAAAACAAGAGCCAGTCCCATTAGCTGTTTGTATTCAGAGCCACAGAAATTACCTCTTAACTGCTACCCATGCTTTGGAGCACAGGGAGCCTCACCACTGTTTCCGTGATAGCACGTAACGGAATTTCCTGAGTGCCACCAGTTGCCAGGAGAGGTGAACAATAAGTCTGATCTCAGGCAAAATTGACTTAATTAGTTACAGTAAGACTGTCTTTTATTATTAGACGAGGGCTGTCATTATGACTTCCATTTCATCTTTTGGTTACTCATGCTTGAGCTATGTGTTTGGTTGGAAGGAGTATTACTATAATAAAGTTTTTCAAATGTGACTTCTCATAGCTCATGCCTTGCCCATGTTCCGTGAGCCCCGCCAGCGGAGTACAAGGAAACAGCTGGAGAAGGACAGACTGGATCCCCTGAAGTCTCACAAACCGGAACCTCCTGTGGCAGGCCCAGGTGACTGGGATCCCAGTAGTAACCTGCAGCATGTGCGGGGAGGGGAGGAGAGGGGAGGGGTGGGGAGGAGGAGAAGGATGGGACTGAAAGAATTGGAAGATGATTGCAGACCTGGTTGCTTACTTTTCTTGACAGGGGGCTTTCCGCATAGCCATTTTCACGCATCTTCTTTTTAGCAGAGAACTTCTTTACTGAAACGAAGATGTGATGCAGAATCCCTGTGGATGAGAGTGGGGAAGTAGAGCTACTGTGCTGAAGTAGGCAGGAAGCTTGGAGCCCTGCTTGCTTGGACTCCTCACTCCAGCCCTGTAGGGAGCCTTCGTGGGACTCACAATCTCCTGGAACCCAGTTTTCAAACCACTGCCCTTAATATTGACAGAATACCCAGTGCTGGGTACTTGGACCAGAATCTTGGCTCAATTATGCAGAAAGTTGCCATCTTTTAGTCCCATGTTGATAAAACAGAAAGCATTCCATGTCATCAGGAGATGAATAAATGTTCATAGGGTTTTAAAGAAAAAGGGGTTAAAAAAACAAACAAACTAAAACATTGGCTACACTAGAGTACACACCTTCATTTAAATCCCATTTTCTCTTACCTGTCAAGTGTCCATCTGCCTCATTTCCCAGCCTACAGTTTTTGACTTGTTCACTCGTTGCAGCCTGACCTTTGGACTTGCATGTTTGGTCTGCCTCTTCAGTGTTAGAGATCTCCCATATCTATCAAAGACTTTTTTCATTCTCTCTGGCACCATCCTAATAAAGTTCCTAAATAATAAATATCCTAGCCTGAACTATTCCAGACTTTTCTAAATAGGCGCCTTATTTCAAGACACTTCCCCTCCTCCCCACCTGCCTCCATTCATCTTACATTCGGTTGTTGTCCCTCCCCGCCCTCTGGCTTTTATGTTGCTGCTGCCCCCGCACCTCCATAAGCTCCCCTCTGCAAAATTGCATTTCCAGGGATTTTAAGGTGCTCTGTAGTCTGATCCTAGCACACCTTTGTAGCCATACACCCCATTTATTTCCTACTCTGATCTGATATGACTTTTAGTTCATTCCTATTCCCAAATATTCGTTAAACATTCTTCTATGACATAAGCCATTCTTTCCATTGAAAATAGTCTTCTGAGCTCTTCCAAAGGGAACTCAGCGTAAATCCCATCTCTTCCATAAAGACCCCAACAACCATGTGAGCCTAAAGAGCTGTGTCATGTTTCTAAGCACTGTTGTAGTTACTGGCCACACAAGTTATTTGGCAATTAATTACTTTCTGCCCTTTATACTCTCGTCTAATCATAAATGATGCAGTTGGCCTTTTAACACTGTTTGCTTTTCATGGGTTTATTATCTTCTTCTTCTTTTTTTTTTGGGGGGGGTTTATTATCTTCTTAAAAACAACATATGTTTTTGAGTACCAGGTATTGTGCTAACTGATGGGGATCCAAGAGGGAAGAAATCCCTTCCCTCCAGGAGCTTCCTGTCTACTCAAGCCAAACTCACTGCTCTCAAGCCAATTCTGACTCACAGCGACCCTGTGGTACAGAAAAGACTTCTCCTGTGGGTTTCTGAGACTCTAACTCTTCACGGGAGTAGAAAGCCTTGTCTTTCTCCTGAAGAACTAGGTGCTGATTTTGAACTTGCTGTTAGCAGCTCAACCCTTAACCACTCTGCCACCAGGGATCCTTCCTGTCTACTACCAACTGAAAATATGTACATCAGTGCATTCTTCTCTCATAATACCCAGGAGGGACTAGGACAATAGTAAGCCCTAAGATATATTTGAAACACAATAGCATCTAAAATCTAGTTGTTATTTTTATTCATTGACTTTCAAATGTGCATGCCCGCAGAATTTTTTCAGCCATACACATGGCCAGTTAGAATTCTTCCTACACAGGCATTATTATGTAAATGAAGGAATGAAGACACAATAATAAAAATGCCTCTTCCTATTTGGAAATATTATGGGGGAAGAGAAATAAAGCTTGGTAGGTCAGTGGTAATCATCATAAATGAAAGTTGAAAGGACCCTTCTCAGGTATTTTTCATTTATTGGTTTGCTTCAAAACAATGTCTGAAGAAGTCCCGGGGTGCTCAAAACTTCAGACCCATAGGTGTAAAACTTCAGACCCATGGTGGGCCCGCCTCTGACCTCCTCTGATTTCACGAGGGGGAAGAAGGAGGATAAAAGTAAGTATAAAACAGATTTATATGCGGTAGAGGTCAGACTGGCCTCCATTCTTAGACTTCTTTACCAGTTCTAACCCTAACCAGCCTCCCCCAGCTTAGTGTTGTTCAGCAGTTCATTGCAGTGGCCACCCGCAGCTCACATACCATACTCAGGATTGCAGCTTTTATTAGGGAAGCTTATATAATTCAGCCCAATGTGTAAGCACTGCACCACCAGGACTCCTTATAGGAAATGAGAAAAACTCAGTAAACCTGGACTTCAATTCTGCCCCCAATTACGATGTTGTCATTCCTTTAACAAGCGGCTTTTAAATGCAGCGCAGGGATGCTCAGTCTTGTCAAGTACAGAGTTTCGTCATGGCTCATTCGTTTCTGACTTTGGCTTTTTCCTCTGAAACAGGCCGTGGTGGCCGAGTTGGAACCCATGGGGGCACTCTGTCCTCATACATTGTGAAAAACATTGCTTTGGACAAGACTGATGACAGCAATCCTCGGGAAGCCATTCTGCGACATGCCAAAGCAGCCGAAGACAACCCGTATTGGGTTTCTCCAGCATATTCCAAGTAAGGAAATAGTTGTTTATTTGTTTCGGTAGAGAAATTGGCATGTTCAGTGACATGAAGAGCGTATGGCACTGGCTGTTTCGGCCTCCTGCCTTCTCGCAATCTTGTTTCATTCTTCAGCATAAAAGCAGGTCAGGGGGCTCAAGTGGGCAGAGAATGCTTTGAAAATGATGATGGCGGCATATGTACAAATGTGCTCGACACACTGGAGGAATGTATGGATTGTGATAAGAGATGTAAACGCCCCCAATAGAAGTATTTATAAAAAATAGTAAAAAAAAAAAGGTAGGTCAGGGACTCATAGTCCTGAATTCTAGGGTTTTTTGTTTTGTATCTTCAGACTCTAAAATGGCTAATTTTAAAACAAGAGTTCTAACCTAATAACATTAGTTCTAATAACATTAGAGTTCTAACCTCAATTTAGAACCTCAGTGCTATCGAGTTGACGTAGCACTGTGGAGTGCAGCGGTTCTCAACCTGTGAGTCGCAGCCCCTTTGGGTTCACCAGATTCATAACAGTAGCAAAATTATAGTTGTGAAGTAGCAATGAAAATAATTTTATGGTTGGGGGTCACTACAACATGAGGACCTGTATGAAAGGGTCGTGGCATGAGGAAGGGATGGAGAACCACTGGTGGAGTGGCTGGTGGGTTTGAACTGCTCACCTTGTAGTTTGCAGCCCAACTTGTAACCCACTACATCACCAGGGCTCCTATGCTGAGGACATTGTAAAAGTAGTATCGAGAGTTCATGCATACCCCACCTCCGCGCATGGTGACTCATACATAACCATAGTTCCATGTGTAACACAACAAAACCATGCCCGATCTTGGGCCACTTTCATGATCAGCGATATATTTGAATGCACTGTTGTAGGTAAAAGTAGGTTTTTGGCATTGGTACAATATTATAAACTATGCTACCAAATATGATTTGAATGGTTTCAGTTTTCCCAATCATATCTTTGTAGGTTCTGGATTCCTATCCAGGATCTCGCATTGCATTTATTTGTTATTCCTCTGCAGTCCCCTCCACTTGTAACAAGTTCTTGATCTTTCATGGCTTTATGACCTTGGTACTTTTAATGATACTGGTAAGTTATTTTATAAACATTAGCTCAGTTATGGTTTGTCCGATAATTCTTGTGCTTGGGATGATAGTTTGCATTTTGCCTAAAATGATGTAGGGATTCAGTAATAAGATAAGGTTCTTATTACCGGTTATATTAACTTTGGTTGCTTGATTAAGGTAGCGTCTGCAAGAATTCTCCACTGTAAACTTACTATCATATCATATGTGGTTAATATATATCTTAGGTGTCATGTTTTTAATTTTAAGCTGTAGATTCTCAGTTTTTCTCTTTAATTTGTGTATCTGTGAGTGAATCTTGCCTGCAGCAAGTAATTTGCCCAATGGTGCTTCTACATTTTCTTCTTTTCTTCTACATGTATTCCTTTCCCACATCTATTTATTTTTCAAGTATTTTTTAATTGGTACGCACTGTCAGATATTTACTTTGTTCTATGGGTTAAAATCCAAGACTGCCTTTGGGGTTTTTTTGCTCAAAATTTTCCAACTTTGGCCACTGGAATCTTCTTCAGAATAGCCACTGACTTCTTTTATCAAACCTACTTTATGCATTCATTAATTCCTTAATTTCTGACACTACAGAATGTTCCAGGCTCATTTCAATTCTTCTTGCCCCAGCCCTGGAATCAACTACTTCTTTCATTGGAGAATGGTCTTTAGAAACCAAGCTGTGCTCATTCCCTCTTGTGTTAGGCTGAGTTCTCTCTCTATATATATAAATATAGATAGAAGTTTCTTTCTGTCTGTCTGTCTGTCTGTCTGTCTGTCTGTCTGTCTATCTATCTATCTATCTATCTATCTATCTATCTATCTATCTGTCTGTCTGTCTATAAAAAACAAACTCATTGCCATCACGTCAATGTTGACTCATAGTGACCTTATGTGGGTGTCAGTGACTTTAACTGTTTACAGGAGTAGAAAGCCCAGTCTTTTGCCCAAGGAGCTGCTGACGGTTTCAAACTGCTGACCATGTGGATTGCAGCCCAACGCGCAACCTCTATACAACCAGGGCTCCATATAAAAAAATATATATATATACATAAAGAGAGAGATGTATTGGGCTGCTAACCACAAGGTCAACAGTTCGAAACCACCAGCTGCTGCTCAGGAGAAAGAGGAAGCTTTCTACTCCCATAAAGAGTCACAGTCTTGGAAAAGCACAGCGGCAGTTCTACCCTGTCTTATATAGTACCTATGAGTTGGCATTGACTCGATGGGAGTGTGTTTGGCTTTTGGTTTTATAGCTGTATAATACTCTTCTAAATCATTACCCTCTTGATGGGCTTTTATGCTGTTTCAAGTCTTTGACTTTCATAAACAATATGGGCATTATTATCCTTAGGCATACATTTTATACTCACACCTGCAAGGCTTCTAGATATAGAATTGTCAACTCAAATGTTATTTGCAGTTTAAAATTTGTGTAAATACTGCCACATTTTCCTCCAAAGAGACTTTTTAATGAATGTATCCAAGTGCATTTATCCTTACTAAGGGATTATGCTAATACTTTTATTTGTGCCAATTGTTTGGTGTCAACTTACAAATAGTTTTTACTTACATTTAAAATTACTGAACATCTTTTCATATGGTAAAATATTTTTTAAAGGTTAATCATTTAACATCATTGCAAATATTTTTCTAGTCATTTTTTACTTTGTATTTGGCATCTTTCCTATTTTCTCCCCACCTCTCACAAAAACCTTTTTTTGTTTCTGTTTTTAAACTGTAATCAGATTCAGGTATTTTTCCCTGCCTTTTTCTCATTTATTAACCATTTGTTACAACACCTTTTACTGGATGATGTTTTCCTTGTTGACTTGAAGCGCCACCTTTGCTAAGGAGCCCTGCTGGTGCACTGGTTAGTTGTTCATCTGATAACCCAAAGGTTTGACCCCACAAGTTGCTCCATGAAAGCAAGCTGTGGCTGTCCGCCACCACCAGGATTACAAACTCCCCCTTACCCACTGCCATCAAGGGGATCCCCACTCCGAGCAACCCTAGCGAGGGTTTCTGAGACTAAATCTTTGCTGCAGCCGAAAGCCTTCTTCTTTGGAATGTTGGTGGGTTCAAATTGCTGACCTTCTAGTTAGAAGCCCACTGCCTAGACCTCATTGCCACCAGGATACTGACCTTGGAAATTCTGTGGGGCAACTCTACATCATGTCCTATCCTGTCTGGTCAATAGGAGTCAGAATTTACTTGGAATCAACTCAACGGCCACCTTTATTGCACACACGACATTTCCATATGCATTTTAACCAATTTCTGGGCTTTCTGTTCAGATCTGTGAATTGGTCTTTTTAAGTTTCAGTATCAAACTATCAAACAGTTTCCACTATGTTATGGCTGCCTACCCTCATTATTTTTATCAGAATTTTTCCTCCTTATTCTTGTAACATTTCCTGACTTTGAGCTATGTAGTAACCACTCCCTACCAAGATAAATTTTAGTACTGTTTTCATTGGAGTTGAACTGCATGTATGAATTCATGTAAGTTGAACTACAAATAAGTCAAAAAGTATTACTATTGGGATTCCAATTCATATATGCACTGGTTTATTCCAAACAAAACATTTGAAAACATGTAGCTTGTGAGTAGATGACTGTAGACAATGACGCTCAGTAATTACACTTGTCTTAGTTTCACTGTGGTATCTTACAGAGGGAAAAGATAGATACTTTTAGTGCTATGGGAAAAGGGATTTTGAAGTCAGCGCTAATTTAAAAAATAACAACAAAACAGTAACAAAACTCAATTGAACATCTTCTGAAACCATCTGTGCTTTGTAACAGGTTTAAAAGAATGCTACCCCGTGTCAAACAGCAGCTTTTAGATGAGTCGGGAATTTCAAGGGAGGTTAGGAAGACACTAACGATGAGCCAACCAATGAAAAACTGTGTCTGAAGTCCTGACACTGGTAGAAGAAGACTATACATGGGCCAAATAAGGAGATCAAATGATAAAGTATTAAACTTTAATCTAACTGCATCTGCAATAATCCACTTTCTAATGCACTGTGAATGCTAGCAAGGCTGTTTGCATCCTCGATCTATGGTCAGAAGAGTATTCACTGGAGGCTTACTTCATGTATATCTTCCCTTCAGTTTTTAAAAAATAACAGGCGCAACTCTTATATGAGTGAAAATGGACACCAAATGATAAATTACATTTTAACCTAACTATTTCTACCAAACTTGACTTTACAATGCTCTCTGTCTGATAACAAAGCTATTTACATCCCTGGACTATGTTCAGAGATGATTCACCAGAGGCCCAGTCCATGTTGGGACCTACAAATGGATTTGGGCTTCCACTGTCATCCATCGCCTTCTACAAATCAGATAGTAACAATTTAAGCTCTGATGCCATTCCCACCACTGACTTTGATTTTATTATTTACAATCCTTGGATCATATGTGCTAGTGTGCTTCATCCATGTAGACTACTCACGTAGGCCCCCGATGCTATTCTATTTGATAGCTGGACACCATCTAGTTTCTTCACCACGTTTTACTATAAGCACTCATTTCATCAATGATATAGCTAGAAGAGCTATATTAAGAAATTTCATTCCACCACAGAGTCTTAGATTTACCTATATAACTCAGAGAGGGAAGTCCCTTCAAAACGATGGCTTCTAAGGGAATAAACTGGGCCAATTAAATTCAGGACCGAGAAATCAACTTAGAAAGTGTGGTGATTATGTTGTAGGATTTCAAAGGAGACATCTTTGCAAGATTTCTTGAAAGACACAAGATGATTAAAGGGGCTTATTAGGAAGAAGTTTTAAGAAAATGGACAACTGTATTATTGAGAAAAAAAGACTAGGAGACTTGTATTAGTGAGGAAAAGGCCAGGAAAATTGTGCTGAAGAATTTTTTTCCACCACAAGGCACTTGCTTATTCT